AAGGCTTGTGGCAACCCCACGTTAAACAAGTCTATCGGCGCCATTTTTCCAACAGTGTTTGCTTGCTTCATGTCTCTATGTCACATTTTGGTAATTCTCACAATATTTTAGACTATTTTATTATTACTGTATTTGTTATGGTGATCTGTGATCAGTGATCTTTGATGTTACCTTGTAATTGTTTTGGGGCACCATGAACCATACCCATTTAAGAGGTGAACTTACTTGGTAAATATTGTGTGTGTTCTGACTGCTGCACAAACTGGCCATTCCCCCATCTCTCCACCTCTCCTCGGGCCCCCCTATGCCCTGAGATACAACAATATTGAAGTCAGGTCAGTTAATAAAGCTACAATGGCCTCTAAGTGTTCAAGTGAAAGGAAGAGTCTTACGTCTCTTGCTTTACATCAAAAACTAGAAATGATTAAGCTTAATAAGGAAAGCATGTCCAGAGCTGAGATAGGCTGTAAACGAGGCCTCTAACTTAGAGGCCAATAGCCAAGTTGTGAATGCAAAAGAAAAAGTTTTGGAAAGAAATTAAAAGTGTTACACAAGTGAACACATGAATGATAAGAAAGCCAAACAGCCTTATTGCTGATGTGGAAAAAGTTTTAGTTGTCGGGATAGAATATCAAACCAACCACGATATTCCCTTAAGTTAAAGCCTAATCCAGAGCAAGGCCCTAACTCTCTTCAGTTCTAAGAGTGAAGAGAATGAAGGCTGAGAGAGGTAAGGAAGCTGAAGAAGAAAAGTCTGAAGCTAGCAGAGGTTGGTTCATGACGTTTAAGGAGAGAAGCCGTCTCCATAACACAAAAGTGCAAGGGGAAGCAGCAAGTGCTGATGGAGAAGCTGCAGCAGGTTATCAAGCAGACCTAGCTAAGATCATTGATGAAGGTGGCCACACTGAACAACAGATTTTCAATGTAGATGAAACAGCCTTATATTGGAAGAAGATGCCATCTGGGACTTTCATAGCTAGAGAGAAGTCAATGCCTGACTTCAAAGCTTCAAAGGACAGACTGGCTCTCTTGTTAGTGGCTCATACAGCTAGTGACTTTAAATTGAAGCAAATACTCATTTACCATTCTGGAAATACTAGGGCTCTTAAGAATTATGCTAAATCTACTCTGCCTGTGCTCTTTAAATGGAACTACAAAGCACATCTGTTTACAACATGGTTTACTGAATGTTTTATGCCCACTGTTGAGACTTGCTGCTTAGAAAAAAAGATCCTTTCAAAATATGACTGCTCATTTACAATGCACCTGATCACCCAAGAGCTCTGATAGAGATGTACCACGAGATTAATGTTGTTTTCATCCCTGCTAACATAACATCCATTCTGCAGCCCATGGATCAAGGAGTAATTTCGACTTTTAAGTCCTATTATTTAAGAAATACAGTTTGTAAGGCTATTGCTGCCATAGGGGATAGTGATTCTTCTGCTGGATCTGGGCAAAGTCAATCGAAAACCTTCTGGAAAGGATTCACCATTCTAGATGCCATTAAGAACACTTGTGATTCATGGGAAGAGATCAAAATACCAGCATTAATGGGGGCTTGGAAGAAGTTGATTTCAACCCTCATGGATGACTTTGAGAGGTTCAGCATCAGGGGAGGAGGTAACTGCAGATGTGGTAGAAATAGTAACAGAACTAGAATTAGAAGTGGAGCCTGAAAATGTGACTGAATTGCTACAATCTCATGATAAGCTTTGACAAAGAAGTTACTTCTTACAGATGAGCAAAGAAAGTGATTTCTTGAGATGGAATCTACTCCTGGTGAAGATGCTGTGAAGATTGTTGAAATAACAACAAAGAATTTAGAACACTGTGTACACTTAGTTGATAAAGCAGTGGCAGGGTTTGAGAGAATTGGCTCCAATTTTGAAAGAAGTTCTACTCTGGGTAAAATGCTATCAAACAATATTGTTTGCTGCAGAGAAATTGTTCATGGAAGGAAGAATTAATTGATGCAGCAAACTTCATTGTCTTATTTTAAGAAATTGCCACAGCTACCGCAGCCTTCAACAACCACTACCCTGATCAGTCAGCAGCCATCACCATCAAGGCAAGACCCTCCATCAGCAAAAAGATGTCGACTTGCTGAAGGCTCAGATGATAGTTAGCATTTTTTAGTAATAAAGTATTTTTTTGATTAAGGTATGTACATTTTTTCAGACATAATGCTTTTGCACACTTGATAAACTACTATATGTTCAGTATATTGTAAACTTTTATGTGCACCAGAAAACCAAAAAATTTGCGACTCATTTTATTGTGATATTTGCTATATTGCAGTGGCCTGGAACTGAATTCACAATATCTCCGAGGTACACCTGGATATCAAAATTAGTTTGCCATAAGAACTAACAAGTTCCTTTTGTATTTACTATCTCTTTAAACAATAAAGTTTTCTATGGCCAGTGGAATTTGAACTAAGCAGGTGCAAATCTTTTTTGACCTGTTAAACTTGCCATTTGTCCTATAGGTGTCATTAGATAGAATTTTCCGTTGAAACCATAACAAGAAGCCAGTTTAGGAGTGATTCCTTTTAACAGAATCCTATCCTGGGGGTGGGGAGTCTAGCAGGACAGATTTCAATAAACTCAATTCTCCTAGTAATTTCAGTAGTAAATCACTTAGTTGGAATTTGCCTTATACTGCTTTATTTCTCTGTAGGGGGAAGTATCATATTGAGACTTTATTGTTTAACTGACCAAGTAAGATTTAGTTATCACTCAAGTGGTATCTCTAGATACCAGGTTTCCTGAGCTCAGAGCTGTAGCTTTCATAGTCAACTTCAGATTTAGCCCCTTCCTAATAATAATATTTTATTGCTGGAGATATTGTACAGGGAAAAGATTTTTGACATTTTGACTATGCCATCTGAATCTTAATCACCAAGAGCTGTAAGTGTTATGTATGATCCACCAACAAAGGCAGAATGACTTAGATATTGCATATTTTTTTTGTTATTCGGTCTTTTTAAGGATTCACATTATAAATCATTACTTTGAAAATCAGTTTAAAATTTTTCTATGTGTGTTTGTGAATCCCAAATTGTTAAGGTCTCCTCTCTTTAAATTCCCCTCTCCCAGCAGTAGGACATAAACAGATGTGGAAGTCGCTTCCACTCTCTCAGAGACCTAAGGAATGAAGTATTTGTTTTAAAGCACTCAGAATAATGCCAACGGTGTGCATGTTTTGTTTGACATTTTAAGCAGAAGAAAGCTACATGACCAAAATGCAATCCATTTCAAGTATGTTAAGAAAAAATATATTTCATCTTAGTAAATCTGGAGATTATCCTGTCATAGATGTCACTGTTATTTTGCAATCCCCGTGACTAAAGCAGTTTTTCTGTCAGAGCCAGAGCTTTTGTAGACAGAACGGCAAATCTGTGGTCACTGGTGTTCTGGATCTTTCTACAGGAGTGTTGGAAGGATACTGATTGTAAAAGTGGAAACTTCTTTAATTGTGCTCTTTATTTACAAATTCTTTCAAAACAATCATAGTCGTGGACTTTGGAGAGTCTGATGGTCCTGGAGACCACCTCTTGTAACTCCTGGCCCCTCCAGTTTCATGGATGAAATACTGTCTCTGAGGTTGTCTTAGAAGTTGGGGACCCTCACTCCTCTTTGGTGGGCCTTTATTTCTGATTCTGTCACACTGAGTACTTGACTGTGTTAACGGGAACATTTTTACTTAATCTTTTCAGGAAAGTCACCAGCAGTGTAGTTTATACCAGGAGGCGGGCTGGAAGAGAAGGAAGGAAGGGACTCTGCTGGTTTGTTGTTCTTAGTGCTGTCTAGTCGATTCCAGTTCCTACTGCCCCTGTGGACAGCAGAGCGGAACCCTGCCTGGTCTTTTTGCACCATCCTCTCACCTTCCAGTGCTCTGTCGGACAGTACTCTGCTGCTATTTATAGGGTTTTCATGGCTGCTTTTTTCAGAAGTGGGTGGCCACGTCCTTTTTCCTAGTCTGTGTTAGACCCATGCTGGGTGGTGAGAGCACCAAACCTTAACCACTAGAGCACCAGGGCTGCCTAACACTGCTGGTACTTTCTGTGAATCACCTGAAATTCTGTTGCCACCCTGTCAGATGTATGGTAACGTCTCCATTTTCATAGGTGGAATGTACTCCTTTGAACCATGCTTCTTTCACTTAACAGTATGTTTGTGAGATTTATTTCTGATATGGCCTGTAATTGTAGCTCATTCATTTTCAGGGGAAATATAGTATTTCACTGTGTGACTATACTCCTTTTTTTTTGGAATAAAAAAAATTTTGTTGATGGATATTTGCATTGGTTCCTGGTTGGGATTCTTACAAAAAGTGCTATTATGAACACTGTATATTCATGCTTAAGTTTAACTTTCAATACTCAAGCAGTGGCTGTACCAATTTGTACTCCTGCCAGCAGTATATGAGAATTCCAGTTTTCCCCTGTTCTTGCCAAGACTTGGTGCTCTTGATCTTTTTCATTTGGGCCAGTCTGGTAAATTGGAGAATTTTCTTTCTTTTTTGGGTGGGAGTTCGTATCATTTCTTTTCATCTCATTCTACAGAAAGGCTTGACTGTACTTGAATTAGAATAACTTAAAGGCAAAATACATCTTCAAATAGGTATTAAATGATTCTTTTTATGAGCTGATAAGTAATGAGTATCAGATGGTGGCCAAGATCTGTGCCCCAGCTTGGCCTGAGAGGCCCGATTTTCAGGTCTGTTACATCTCCTTCTTTATTCCGTTTTACAGGTGAGGTTACTGAGCCACTTCAGGGACTAGAGACCATCCAGATGCTCTGGCCAGGCCTCCTGGAAGAGCTGATTGTAATGTTCTCCCCATGCTCTCTAGTGAGGCCCTCTGTTGATTCTTCTGCTCTTTCATTTGCTAAATAATTGTTAAATGCATACTGAATGGCAGGCATTGGGCTGGGCCTGTGAGATTCAGTGGCAAACAAGCTTATAATCTATTCATGTCCTCTTTCACTTTACAGGTTATGGCTTTCAAATCACAGCCTATTTCATCAAAAGAGGGATACGCCTTCGCTGCTTTGGGGGCTCACAGAATGCTGGTAAGAAACTGATTTCTGGGCTGTCCCGGTGGCGCAGCGGTTAAGTTCGCACATTCTGCTTTGGTGGCCCGGGGTTCGTCAGTTCAGATCCCAGGGGTGGACCTACCCACAGGTTGTCAAGTCACGTTGTGGGGGGCATCCCACATATGAAATAGAGGAAAATGGGCACGGATGTTAGCTCAGGGCCAACCTTCCTCGGCAAAAAGAGGAGGATTGGCGGCAGATGTTAGCTCAGGGCTAGTCTTTCTCAAAAAAAAAGAAAAACTGATTTCTTGGTTCATCAGGCATTTTACACAATTAGCCACATACAAAGTAGGGGAGGATTGGCACATGTGTTAGCTCAGGGCGAATCTTCCTTACCAAAAATAAAATAAAAAAAGAATATTTCCAAACATTTGTGCTTATTTTTTTTTCAACTTTCACTATTTACTGCCTGCCTGAGAACAGTGAGCTGGGCCACACTTTACTTTCCTGCTTCATCTCAGTACTTTCCTTGAGCTCCCAGGGAGACTTGACAGGCAGTTAAACTATGAATGACTTGATCATTGTCTGCGCACACCAAGGCCCTGGGATATAGAGCAAGTATGTGTACGAGAAAATGCTTTCCCAGCCCAGAGCCATCAGAGCCTTTCCTAGGTGTGTGATGTGGCCAGCTTCCCCCCTCATTTCCCCAAGTCAAGATGTCCACTGAGGAAATGATGTCAAACATGTCCAGCCAACAACAATAAAGTCAGATGCTAATGACTGTTCTCCAAGTTGATGGAGCATTGGAAAGAAAATCTAACTCAACTTCCCTGGATGATTTTAGTATATAAGATACGAAACAGGGACTTGAAAAATAAACTGTACAGAGGTTTGCTCTTGGAATCTTTGCAATTATCTCCACTCTCTTAACTTTAAGTGTCACTTCAATATATTACTCTCTTAATGGGGCCTCCCACTTTATTCAGTTCTCTTAGTAAAATAAGCCAGCTAAACTTGTATTTGTTAAACTTCAGCCTAGCTACCCTTTGTGGTAGAGATTGCTGTTGCCTGTATCTTTACTTTATTTAAATAATAGAAATCTCATTTATGGCCTAAGCAGAGTAAAGGAGTACAGAAGTTGCTTTCTGTTTATATAATACCTCATACCAAAATGTTCAAAATCTGCCATTCTAGCATTCTTATTTTTCAGAGGAAGAAATGGAAGGACAAAACAGAGGAATTATTTGATGAAACTGATAACTTTAAATTCTAATTCTGATCCACTAATGAACTGATCCACTAATAATTGATAGAACTGGTAATTTTGAATTCTAATTCTGATCTGCCAACAGGTGGTATTTCAATGTGATGATGTTTTTGGGGTGCAGGGGGTAGCAAATAATGAATTCTGTGACTCAGCTTCCCTTTCTATAAAGCAGGAAGCAGACTACTTACCACTTATCTCAGTAAAATATTTTAAGAATTCATGAATAAATATTAACTACTTTGATAATTTTGTTTCTCTGGCTTTTCAAAGTTCATCCCTAGTTGCCTAGCCAGATGTGACATCATGAAAGGTGAAAGTTTAATCACATCCAGGCTCCCTGAAATGGGGTTTCTATGTGAGGAGGACGAGTCGGGGTAAGACCAGAATGACAGGTTAGGCCCCAATCATGTCACATGATGGGCACTGAGGTGCCATGCCAGGGTTTTGAGCAGGGTAAGTGGAGCTGCTTTTTAGAACTGTTAATCTGCTTGTGCTGAGTGGGATGAAGTGGGATGGGGAAGGATGGTCACCAAGGAAACAGCAGTGAGAGGTGAGGAGAGAGCTGTTGCTGGAACATCGACTCATTAAGCCTTTTGGTATCATTTAACCTAGCCAAGTGGTATAAGGTGCTAACTGTGTTTAAGTTGTGTGTCTCACCTTCATGCTTGGCTTCCAAGTGCATCAGATTGAGATATGTTGTTACCTCAGTCAGTGTCCTCACTTTTGTCATTCATTATTGGAAATGTGCAATGGACTGATTCATAGTGTCCATCTTTAAAAAAAATAATCCCATCTAAGAGGGAGGTTTTCTCTTTTAAAAAAATGGCTATATTTCTGTTAGAAATATGATACATGTGTATTATAAAAATATTCAAGCAATACAACCAAGTATAAGGAAGGGAGGAGAAGACCCTCCCTACCCACCCAAAAAATGCAATGTTAGCGTCAGCCAAACATCATTCCAGATATCACTCCAGAAATAGGTGGAGGCTAGGCAAATGAGTGAATGGATGGACCGACAGATGAGAGAAGGAGAGATACTGATGGCTTTTACCATTTTCTGTTCCTTTCATAGACTGTTGAGGAGTCCAGTTCTGTAATTCATTCAGCCTTCTCCACCTGGAAGTCAGTGGTTTTGCTTTAAGAAGTTGTAATAATAGAACACTATGACCGTGGTATAGTTGTGCCATCTTTACTATTGCGTATTTAAACGTTTCCTTAATAGTTTGATCATTAATTCCTAATTAATGACACTGCTGTTTTCATAGCCTGATTCAGATTAGGAGTTTGCTCTTGGTTTGGGGGACTCTCTAAGACCAGTTGACCAAAGGTGATAAGTAAACTAACCAGTAAGAACATTGACAAGTCATGTTTTCAGATTTTTATCTCATGTTCCTCCTCCTCCTCCTGTGTAAGTCTGCACACTCACTAAAAAACGTTGATCCCATTTCCCAGATGTGAGTTCTGAACAGAAAACAGCAAACTGACACAGAGGGAAGGCTGCCAAGGTCTTGCCTGGGGTGTTATGTGATTTAATGGTCAAGGGGCTCAGGTAGACCAATTTGTAGCCTCCTGGGCGCTCCCTAGAGCTTTGTGCTTGCCTCCCCCTCCCCGACCCCCGTTGATGGCAAGCACCAAAAGGAAGGGAGGAGAGAAGAGACAAGTCTTAGACATACATGCTTATTGCTATAACTTAAAAATCTGGGACCAAGCATTTCTGTGTTCATAGTTTTTTGATGCCTTTAGTAACGTGATTTTCTTCATTTTGTACAGAACTCCGTGTATTTCCTGACAGATTTGTGGTCTGTGTAAGTCAACTTGCATACAATTGTGATCTGTTGGCAAGTCAAAAGGAAGAACTGGTATGTATGAAAAAATTCCATAAAGAAATAAATCTGCTTAAATGGTGAGTTATTATAAAAAATAGAAAAATAGTCTTCTGTTGTCATTTAACTATTGAGCACTCAGTGCATGTTTTAAGGAATCAAAATGTCCTACCTATTTTGCATAATAGTATTGATTGACTTTTTTCTGAAGATCCTTGAAAATTTAGTTTGATTAGCAGTGTCTCTTCCATATGAAGTAAAATGAGAAAGCACATATCACAAAAACTGTGATGTTGCTTATGATAGCATTTAAATGAAATAAAGCAAAGTCTTTAAATAAAATGAAGCAAAATCCACATATTTCCACTGGAAGCTTTCATCAGGGTCAGTGGCTTTTGAATTTTATTCCATGGTGAATCACTGACATTTTCATGAGAACCACTACTTTTCCCCAGTGTGTTATTTCTTAACTGATAGGGTGCGTTTTTTCTCTCTTTTCTCATGCTGAGTCTTGAGCTTCATCAGGTCCGGTTTCTGTTTCATTGGAGTTCTCTATTCAGACAGATGGATACAGAAAACTCACTCGTGGTGTTTCAGCTTGCAGCTTTGTCTTTTAAGCTTAAGATATACATGAGAGAGAGTCTCCTTGTGTGTGTGTATCTTGCTGCAGTCACAGTCCGATTTATCCAAACTTACCTCCATACAAATTATTTTCATAATTTTCGACGTATGACTTGAAACTTTAACAGAGAGAGGAAAAAAAATCTAGCAGCCATTAAACCTGGACATGAAGTATGACATGATTATTATGCTTCTAGAATAATTTATGGGAATATTAGATTACCCCTTATGTTTATTATTTTTTAATCCATTGAAATTTGGCCCATATGGTATAAAAACCAGCCTCTTATCTCATCTTAAATAAATGCATAGGAAGTGTTTTTTAGAGATTTGAAGAGTGAATAGACACCAGGAAAAGTGAAGAGCAGAGAGCTCATATTTAAATGCAGATGCCGTCATGTGGAGCAGCTAGTCCTTTAGAAAAGCCAGTGTGACCCATACTACTTCTATCACTAAACTCTAAGTGTACGTATTAAGTGAAATAAATGAAGCAAATTTGATGAAAAGTATTAAAAGTTTATTCTTTGAAATATTTTCAGGATCTTGAGTTATCTTAGTTAATTAATAAATGTGAAACTAGTAATGCTGTTGGCAAACAACTACAATGTAATAGAACTTAACCAATTCTTGTGAAGAAACTGAATCTGTAGCTTAAGAAAACAACAATGAACTGTACCAGAAAGTATTCTTGCTTTCAGATGGAATACAGAAGAAATTAGATCTTGTATGATATGTAATATTAATATCTTAAATTATTGAGGCTGAATTAAAACATCCCAATACAAATGAAATTTTATCCTCCTTAGGGGCAGTGGTATTTATACAGATGTAAGTTTTCTATAGCTGCTGTCATATAAATCCTATAATCTGGAGGACTTCCTAAATGTTAAGCATTTTCATACTGAAAAGTTCACTGGTCTGAGCCTTTTACATGAGCCAGTTCAGTTTTCTTATCTTCAGAATGTTCAGACAGCTAGCGATAACACTATCAGAGTTAACCAAGTTAGCTTATAAGGAAAATGCCATTTACATCATGAAGAGCTTTCATTATTTTGAGTGATTCTCTTTAGATGTGGTCAGTCTCTGACTCTTCAGCTGCCCTTTTTCCCCACCTCTGACCATGCCTTCACATGCACACTTTCCCAGCCACACACACACACACACATCAGCTAAAGCCTGAGGCCGCTCAACAGCTCCATCCCTGGACACTCTGTGCACCCCTTCTGCTTGGCCAGCTCACCTCTGCACCTCCCCTCCTCACAGGCCTACAGTCCATCATTTCCTCAAGTTTGTTGTCCCTAGAAACAGTAAAATATCCGGGTCAAGCAAAGAATAAAATATCCTCTCTCCTGCAAATTGTCCATCAAGCCAGTGACACAGTCCTTCCCCAAAAAACGCCTTGGTGCTTTATCCCCATTGATGGGTGACCTGTGCAAACCTCCTCCTGTCTCAGCCCTTGAAGGGTCAAGAAACAGTCCTGCTCTCCCAGAATTGCCTTCCGTCACAAGGTAGGCATTCTTACTCCCTGTTATATATTTCAGATGCCCAAGGCCAGTGACACCTGGCTTTCCTGAATATTCCTGAACTTTCTTAAAGCTGTGAGTTCTTTTATCACTTTACGTCCGTACCCGCTGAAGGGCAGGATCCATCTCATTTTTTCTTGGAAATTCTTCTCAAGACACATGTGACTGGGCGAGGCTGGGAAATCGGCTTCCTGAGGAGCTCTACTGGACATAGTTCTTTGACAATAAAGTTCAGTTATTTCCCTCTAACTGTTTACTGAACTCAGTCTTCCATGGCCACAGAATGATGGGGGAGAAAGCTCGTACCTGAGTAACAGCCTGGTCGCCTACTCCTGCTCTAGCCTTGAGTAGCAGACTCCCTTTCCTTGGACTTTTTTTTTCTGTTTGGATCCACAGTATCTAAATGACAGTAGGTTAGGACGTCTGGGTCTATTCAGAACGGCTCTGCCAGGGGATTCTTTCAGCCTATACCCGAGGAAGCCGGCTGCACTTAGCTCCCGGGGTCTTAAAGGTGGCTGCACAAAAGAGCCGCTGTTCCAGATCAGCGTTACAAAGGGAGTAATCCCCCTCCTTTGGGGTGCAGGACAAGTGCAGCCATGCCCCCCCACAAAGCCCCCAGCATCAGAGAGGTCTGTTCCCCTGCTGTCGGCGGTGTCTCGGGTCCACCGAGGGATGTTGGTGCAGGGAGATGCTCCGTGTTGCAATAGCTCCACGCTGAGTGCCCATGTGCCAGGAATGTGGGAACTGTGATGTGTACTTTGGGAAGAAAGGGCATTATTATGAGATGAGTCACTGTATTTTTCTTACTCCAGTTTCTCATAAGAAATCTTGAAGCCCTCGAAGCCTCAGTTTTTGACCTATTGCTAGAAATGGAGCTGGGAAGCCTTTAAGAATTTTTACCTTTAGTTTTATTTTTGTGGGGTTTTTTTTCTCTCACATCTTTTTTCCTGTAAATCTGTAGAGCATAAAGTAAATTTTTATTGCACTCAGTTATATTTGATTCCAACAATATTTTTTTTTCATATTTACAAGCCCAAGTGCCTGTGTAGAGGCTGTTTTCTTCCTCAGATGTAAAGCCCTTGGGCCTTTGGGAAATTCAAAATTATGTATTATTTCTTTATTAAAGTAAATAGCCAATAATAACCGAAGTATTAACTTTACCTTACAAAGTAATAACTTTGTTATGTAAATAACCGTAGAACTCTGTGTATATCTGGGACCATTCAGGGTCAGCACAAAGCTACTTTCTCATGGAGCATTGGTTACAGCCACTCCTGGTCTCTGGAGACCCATCCCATCTGTTCTTACCATCACATTGTAACATAATTTGCTGAGTGCTGGCTCTATGCCAGGAGCGCTGGTAGGCATTAAGGAAACAAAGAAAGATAAGAAAGTGCTCTTGCCCTCAAGAACCTTATAGTCTGGCAGATAAGGGTACTGAAGGTAATCCTGATGACCTAAAAAATGTGATTAAAGTAGAGCCGCCCTTTTTCTCGAAGATGTATCCATTCTGCACCTGAATGTTCAGCTGGATCCTTGCCACCATTCAGAAGGAAAGTCCAAAGTTCTAGGTTGCTTCCTTACTTTTAAACCTAACCTGTAAATGTCTGAGATTGTTTTGAAAATTTAAAAAATGACATTTAGTGCAAGTACTGCCTAAAAGTGAATATGTCCATTAAGGTATTTTGGTTTTCTACCTCAGGCTTCATTTGAGTTGTGGCCAAGCTGTGGAAATAGCCATCAAGCTTCTGCAGACGTACCCCAGCCACACAGTGCTAGGCCCTCGCTGTAGCCTCATCTTAGTAGAAGGATTACGGGGACGTCCTGACAAGAGACAATATTTAAGCACTTCTCTTAAGTCAAACTACTGTTTAATGTTACAGAATTCTCCTTCTAGTTTGTGAGTATAAAACTGAGAAGAAATGAGTCTAAAGAAGCAATAAACTACTCTAGCCTGGGTTATTTTTAGCTTGGCTGTCTATTCCTTGGCTGTGCATAACTGAACCTCTGTGGGCCTTAGCCGTCCTCTCAGTCAAGGGGGGGAGGGTATCAGATTATCTCAAAAATCCTTTCTCACACTGAATTCCTATCAGAGGAAGCAGATGAAAAGATAGCTAAATAAAAAACATAAAATAATTTTGCACAAAAGAGAACTTGTAGATTTAAAAATTGTCATTAAAAAAAATTCGGGTTAAACTTATATTTTATCTTGGGAAATATACATAGAAATTATAAGGAAACATTTTAGGCCTTAAATTTTTTGAACTGAAGAAATAAACTACTTAACAGTTTGACTATGCACTAACTTCTGTACCCTGATGGAAGAATTATTTAATTTTCATAAGGGAACTTTTGCGTAAGTGTAAATCAGATCTTTCAAGAACAGAACTCTTTGTTGTATCAAAAAAATTAAATGAGTAGTGGGTGATTTTTCCAGGTTTTTCATGATGTATCATAGACTTTAAGATTCTATTCTCATCCTCTTTTTCTATTTCCTGAACAATGCTATTGGTAAATTACGTGGATGCCATAAATGAGAGATTCCTGTAGCACTAGGAAAAGTTCCTTGAGTGGGAAGAAGTCGTTTCCATATTTCACATTTCCCACAGTATTCTGAACTTGGCTTTTTCCTTAATAACTGCTTACCAAAATTGTACATGTTGATTGTACAAAAAAATTTAGAATCCAAATATATACAAAGAAAGTAAGTATTATCCACAACTCCCAACCCAAGATAGCCTCTGTTAGTGATCTAGTCTGTACACCTCCATACTTCATACTTGATAACTGAGGTTGGTGTGTATTTATTTTACCTGGGACCCCATTCATTTGTGAATTGTGTGTTTGTGTCCATTTTCCTATTGGTATTTTTGTATTTCACAAGCTCCTTAC